AAACTATGAGATCTACTGGTCAAATCCCTAGTTCTATGCCGAAGGTATTTTAATTAAAAGCTAAATATAGAATAAGTAAAGTAGTTTGAATATCCTCATCATTCAGAAAATATTAAACCACCAGGGTTTGATTTGTGAAAATCAAGGCAATGTACTTGGGGATAATAAGAACTTCTGCTATTTTAGTGTGATTCTCAAAGCTGTTACTAAAATAACAGAATTTTGAACCAAAGTATCCAATTGTCTTTACATATAAATTTATTTATTTATAAATTTGACTCCAAATACCATTAATACTATTTGTATTATTATTAATATTATCTTTGCTTAAAATGTGTGACCTACATTCTGCTGATGTCTTGCAGAAAACACATCACACATTTTAAGCACATCACACTTTCCCATCAATTCATTTGTAAATTACCTGCTCGTTTTTCCTTTTTGCAGATTGTTAACTGTGTCACGCTCCACATTAAAAAAAATAATAATAATTCCAGCCTCAACCAGGTAAAAAGCACACAAAAAACCACCATTTTTCACAAAGGTAGCCCTCCACAGCCACTGCAATTGCCTTGGTCACAGCAAAAGCGGCTAATGTCTATAGGAGCAGTCACAGCCACCGCCATGGTGCAGATGGCAGGCCAGACTCTCAACTTCATTGCCACAAAGAGAGGTGCCAGCAGAGACCAAAAGAAAAAAAAAAAGAAGAGGTCCTCTCTCTCTCTACACAAAACACACTACAGAACAATAGAAGAAGCATCTGATTTACGGTAATAGGGGAGGACTTCATCACACGTCTCAGTACTGGACAGATCATCTTGGCAACAAACCAACAGAGGGACAGTTAACCTATCATATGGAGAGAACAAATACATGGTTATTACAGGGGGACAGGGAGGCAGAAGGAGGGGGGGGAAAGATGGAGGAAGAGGGAGAATTTGGAAGGGGAGAGATTGGATAAGGGGCATTATGAATAAGTATGATTTGTAACAATGAATATGCTAATAAAATAACTTAAAAATAATAAAAAAATAATAATAATTGCAATGAAAATGAAGCCTTAGAACAAATGAATTTATTTCCATGGCGCAATTTTGAGATTTAGAATTAGCTTACATACAAGTCATCAAAAAGTAATTTTTCTTAGCATGCCTCCCATCATACAATGCAATATTTTCTCACCTATAAATAAAAAGCTTATTTTTATTTTAAAATAATATTTGAATAGCAGGTTTGGACAACTCCTAAAGTAATTGCTTCTTCATATGAATAGATGTAAACAAAACCATTATTTAATCATGTGATAGAGCTAAAATCCCACCTGAATTGTTTTTCAAAAAAAAACACACAAAAAAAATATGGCTTATACATGAAATGTAGCCTCTCAAGAAACTAAGTTTGTTTAAAATAGTAGGCAAGGTCAAACATTCTGACTTTGATATAAAATTAATTATTCTAATAAAAAATATGGCTCAATCATATAGCCAAATGATGCTCCTAAATATGTATTTGAATCTCCAGTTGTCTCGGTTCTCAAGGGCATGGGTAAGGCTTTATTTCACTGCATGGCAATCCTTTCTTTTCATTTCAGCTTCTTCATGCACTTGGGGCTCACCACGTATAAACTCCCACCTGTATTTCCAGCTTCCTAATTTTAGAGTTCAAGAAGATGTCCGGTCTCTATTCTTGACTCAGTCATCAATGTTAAGTGTGAATTCACCATTCCATTTCCTTCAGCATTCTAAAACTTAAGAAATAATTTCTCACCATATAAAGCAGAAAGTTCTAAGTTTCAAAACATAGATAGACGAGGGGAACTTTGAAAAGAATAAGATGTATGCAAATGGATATGGTACTAAGTTCAGTTTCATGCATAACCAAGACTAATAATATTTTAGAAATGTAAAAATTAACTAAGGTTTCCATACACAGACCTCCAAACTAGTATTCAGCAAATAAAAACTTAAAATTTTTTGAGTCCACAGCCTGAGCTCATACATAAATGATGTAGAACCAAAGTAACAAAATAAATTTAATGTGAAAACTTTTAAAAATAACTACCTTACTCTTTTCTACAAATCAGGTAATTGCCAAAGTTATTGTCCTTAAAACATTTAAGCCATTCTAATTCTGATTTGTAGGTGATACAATGGGTTAAAAAGGTAAGCCAAATTCTCCAAGTCCACAGAAATGTAGGTAATAAACAAAAACTGCATACTTGACCTGTTCCTCTCTCCCACCATTCAGCCCATTTATGAAGAGTGAGAAAGGTATAGCTCCTATACCTGAGTGAAAAGCACTGCATCTCCTCATGCTCTCAGAGTGATGCTATTACAACCACAAAACCCTTCTGTAAGAAGAATGAATAGACCAGAAAACAGGAGATCATGATTTGTTCTCCTGTGTCGCTGTTCACTCACTTTAAGAACTCGTATGCACTGTTCTATATTCCTCATTTGTAAAATGATGCATCTGATCTCAGTGGTTTGTAAGATACAGACACTTGTAAGTTAAGATTTCGCCTAAACTTTGTCTCTCTACCATTACAAAAAGTACATTTTTGTACAATCTATAAACATAACAAAATGAAACCACATGGGTTTATATTCTGGGTTTGCTATGAATAAACATATGGTCTCAGTGTGCTATTTAACTACACTAACCATCAGTAGGTCAAATAATTTTCATATTACCTTACAAGAATGTGCCAACATTCTTCTAAAAGCATTGTAGGTATTAGCTTTTTAAATTCTCATAATAAATCTAAGAAATAAATATCGCTAAACTCATTTTATGACAGTGGAAACTGAGTCATGGAGAAATTAAATGATTAGCCCAAGGCCATAGACCTAATAAGTAGTAAAGTCACGATCTAAAACAACATACACCTTATTTAGCAATACACTTAAAAAAATTTTTGTCTACTTAACACAGT